CCCTCCCAACAACACATAGGGTTCTTAGGTAGATTACATGTTTGGGGGGGGGGGGGGGGGGGGGGGTTTGTGGGGGGGGGGGGGGGGGGGAGGGGGGGGGGGGGGGGGGGGGGGTGGTAGTGGGTAGCACAAAGAGAAAATCTTCAGATTTCAGATTTGCAGAGGTTTTCACCTCTCTGATAATCTTTAATACCGAAAGGAATAAAGGAAAGAAAATTTGTGGGGAGTTGATAGAAAATGAGGACTTCAACAAAGGTCATGTATCTTGAGTGAGTTGTCTTTTCTGAGCACAGATATTTGAAGTACAACGCCATAAATTACATAGGACTTCAAGGGTTAATCGTTGGCACACCCATTTCTGATTTGATTCCCCAGCCAATAGTCAAGCAGGTACATGTAAGAACTGAATGATTTTCATCAGTACATTGTCCAAATCAGAGGAGAGTTTGATTGGAATTAAGATTAGAAAAGCTTAAGGATATTATGATAGGCCAGGTAGTACATACTGTTAGTCAACATGTTTTGTTAATTCCTACCTTCCACAAGTCAGCCCTTGAAAATGTGGCCTTCCCATGCAGCCCTTGTATCCTGGCCTGGATCCTTGAATACCAGACAAGCCAGTGATTCAGCTCATAACCATGAGCTTGGTAGCCATGTCTGGCTGCAGCTATTACCTGTCAATCAGAAACATATATGAAATATGCCAACTCTCTTGGATTGTCCAGTAAATGAGAATGAGGTTTGTATAAGTTGCAGAGCCAGATTACCCCAATTACACCTAAGGTTTAAGGAGATTGCGTGACAGGTCGACTGAAGAGGATTTGGATGAAAATGTAGTTTTGAATAAATACAAACCACTCTTCCATCCCCACTGCCTAAGTCTACAAGCTTTGGTCCCGGACATTTGGAGACTTGAGCCATTAGCAAAATATTAGAAATTTGCCTTTCTGTAGCTGGAACATAAGGCAAGCAGATTTTCCGTAAGGCAGGCGTGACAAACGGTGTCGTGACAAGAACAAGTCCAATTGCCGCTGCACCTGTCACACCTAGAATAACCTTTCCCAACTTGGAAGATGTTCTTGAGTGTCTATTATCCTGCTGTTGCTCTAATCCCAGCATATCATCAGAACTTATCTCTGTCTTTGACATTCTTCCAGAGGATCGCGATCGTTCAATAATAGAAGGGCAACATGGCATATAGGGAAAGTTATTTACGGGTATGGAATTTTCATAGCTTCGACTCTTTTACACTGGCCAAGTTTTCATCTACATATTACATCGAAATGTATCTGGAATAAGTCAATGAGCCCGTAGTTTCTCGTCAAAATATGACCGTCAAGCCATCACGTTTTGGACGTTTTGTTGCCCGCCATATTGAAAGCACATACAAATATTGCGTGGGGAGGGGTTAGGATTCATTATCACGGGTCTCTGTCGTTCAGTTCAAAATCTAGCGAAAAAATCGAAATTAGCAGCATGTATCACCAGACAGGGTTTTAACACTGTCCAAAAAATATAATTTGTTTCTTTTTTAGGAAACATTAAACATTTACCTATGACAAATACCTGTGACTATACTCTCCCTCCTTCACCCAGATACAATGTTTTTCCTCTGGGGTAGTAGGGAAAGAAGTAGGCCAAGTACCTCGGTACACTGGAAGAAGAAAAATGTATATATCGGTACACTATAGGAATCATATATGAAGTACTTACCAAAGATAGAGCGTTTGATCGCGGGCTCCTAAACAGAAAGTAATCCAAGATGGCGGTTGACAGCAATTGAAAGAGGAAACTTTCTTTCTGATAGTGCAATGTGCACTCAAGGAAGCTGACAGTTAGCTTTCATTA